TAAATAATATTCTATACATACATACATATGTGTGTGTATACGTATGTATGTACGTATATGTATGTACGTATATGTGTGTGTGTGTGTGTGTGTGTGTGTGTGTGTGAATCTCTGCTAGTGGCTTCAAATGCTAAAGAGAGAGAGAAAGGGAGAAAGATTCGGGCCCAAACTTTAGCATTTGAAGCCACTGGCAGGCATTCCCAGAAGTCAGTGTACCTCCATTAAAAAATAAAGCTTCTCTTTATCATCTTTTCCCATGGCATCCCGTTTTTTCTGTGTGGGGACATTTCTATTGGTGCCCAAAGCTTTTCCCTTCACAGAATGAAATGGAACAGCAGTGAAAGGGGTTGATCTGCAAGACCTCAGCCTTTGCCCTCCTGGGTCTGTGGTACCACCTGTGGGATGCCCAGCTCAAGTGCCAGGGCCTTCCTAAAAAGCTCCTGAACACAGGGGCACAGATCTCTAACCGAGGAAGGAAAGGAGGCCCCCATTAGGGCTGTGTGCCACTGCGATCTGCAGATTCAGTCTGAAGATTCAGCTCCATCCATTTGCCTCTTTGAATCAGCTTTTCAAATCAGGTGGCCCGACTGAATCAGATGCCTTCAGATCAATCCCATCTTCCACCATACTTTTAATCATGCATATGTTTATTCCCCGAAATCGTTGCATTGCTATATCTATTTGACTTCCAAATCTGAATCGGTTCAAACATTCAGAGCAAACGGCAAATTCAGATGTGCGCCCTGCTGATTTGCAACCCCTACTTTAGACACCAATTTCCCCTTCTGTTACTCTTGAATGAAGCAAGGAGCTTCCAGAGTGTTCCCTCCACTCAGCCTGAAACTCATACTATAACTTCCAATTATTCATCCGCCTTTACACAGGACAGCCAAAACAATCAGAACTGGTTCTTTGTTTCGTTTTGCAGTCCTGATTACAGGCCTGCCATTTTATCTCTGGAACCCACAAGTGAGGTGAACCTCAAGAGTTGGCCAAAATTTTGCCTTCTCCCCAGCGGCACCAGCCCTTCATGCATTTAGCTGAGCTGAAGAATGAACTTTCAGGAAAGCAGGTCTCATATTCTGGTTTTGTGCCCCTGATCTGCAAGAAGACAGCGAGCTCTGATGGCGTTTTAACATTGCTGAAGACGGTTTGTCTTTTAATTGAAGTCTTGCTTGAAATGTGTCTCTGTGGGCACGCACATGCATTGTGTGTGAATCTCCACCAACTTGCTTTCCACAAAACAAGCTATTGAAGGCAGAAGGAAGGAGCAAGTTTGCCCCGGGAGCCAGAATGCTAAGCAGGGGTGTCTTGCACGGTGGGGGTCAAAAAAATCTCAATAGCCCCGTGACCACATGATTGAAGCCTTTTTAAGGCGCAGCTCGTCTCCACTCCGGACGGCCTGCCCGATGCTGACCAGCCACCTTTCCCCGCTGCTGAGAATCTGCTCCATGTTGAAGTGTCCAGAGGTCCTGGTCTGGCAAGGAAGCCACATTGCTTGCTTCTCATTTTTGCCCAATAGCTACTAAAACTCTCCCGTTTGCTTTCTCCTGTTTTGGTTTTTTTCTCTTTGTTTCTTTAATGGGGTTGAGGGTGTTTTTGGTAGGGGTTTGCTTGCTGTCTAGCGCATATCGCTCTCAACTCTGCACTTCTGCTTTGTATTTTTCTCACCTAAATGGAGACTTCCTATGGCTGCATGTCTCCTTTTTTATGCCCCAAGAGACTTGTGGACCAAAAGAACCGATTGCTTTTCTTATTCTCTGCTTTATTGATGTGTGTGTGTGCCTGTGTGTGTGCTGGTGTCTCTATGAATGTTAGGAAGAAACTGTGGCAGTTTAAAGTGAAGGGCTGGCCAGATAGCCCCCACCACAAATGGATGGCGATGATTAAAGTTGAGTGGTCTTCCCCATTTGCAGGGTGGCACTTTACTTATCACATGCTACCATCTTTGCTAATGGGGGGGGCGACGTTTTCCCACCGGCCCTGCCCCTTTCCATCAGGCCAATACATGGAACTTTAATAGTTGAAGCTATTCTTTACCCTTTACCTCTTGGTGTGTGCTTCTGGAGGACATGGAGAGATTAACTACATACATGCATACATACATATAAATAATCAGGCTGCACAGAAGCAAGCACCATTGAAAAAGGTGGTAACTTTTGAGCATGCTCCGGGGTGGGGTGGGGTGGGGTGGGGAGTGTGTTCCTGCACCCTATGCTGTTTCTCTGCCGGATGAGTTCCATTATGGAATATCTTCCTGGTCTTTCTCTATCAAGTCCTTGTTGCGTTCTACTATGGTCTGAATGGCAAGGAGAGTCTACCCAAGAATGCAATGATGCCTTTGGGTTCAGCGGCCCCACCTCCTCTCCAGACAATGGGGGAGACAGAGAGTCCCTTTCCTCATGATAAAAACTCAGCGTCAACATTTGCCCTGTCTTTGCTTCTAATGAGTTGCTCCTTGCCTCTTTCTTCGTTCTTAATTGAGCCTCATATCAGCAACCCTGGGCTCCTTGGCACCATTTGTCATTCCAAGGGGCACTTTGGTTGCACCTGAGATTCAGAGGACTTCTGCCTTTGACCAGGAAAAAGAGCAGACCGGAAGGTTCAAGAAACACTTTCCTCCCCTGGGTTGGCTTCTTAGAAGACCATAAAACCCCTTCTTTGTGATGCTGAATTTTGGCACAAAAGTGAGTACAGGGACTTGAGGTAGAAGGAAGGCCTGACTGAACTCCAGAAAGGAAAGGGCCACCTGGGAGTGACAGAACAGTGGCAGAAACTCTGCACATGCTTCATCATCTGCTTGTTCTTGGTATCTCTTTCCCTGCTTTGCAACATTCCTGAAACTGAGTTTGTATATTCTTCAGCGTATAGATGGTTCTATCAAGTCCTATCTTCACCAGCGACTCTACAGAAAAATAGCCCTCCTCATCCCTCCAGAACCATACTCTGATCACCCCACTTTCTAATTCTTCCCAACTTAACTCAGCCTCCAGTTCCAACAATAATTCACGTTAAACTGCAAATTATCCTTTCTTGTACACCCCTTTTGCTTCATTTTTTCCACTCTGGTATCTTCTCTGTGGGAACTAGGTTGTAAGCGCTTTGGAGGTGGGTCTGCCCATGTGACCTGGGAAAACACCACACATTTGAACCAGCACCCCTAATAAGTCATTGGAATGACTGCACATATTCTGGGACCAACTTCCAGCTCCGATTAAGTTTTGCCAAGTTTCCTTCACCATCTGAGACCAACGGCTTCCCCTACAGAGTCCTCTAGCCAGCCAGATCAACAACCATGTCCCCATGCCATGCAGCCCTCCCCATGCCTAGTTTGTTACTTACAATTGCCACATACTCGACCTTCATGCCACTCCGGGCCTGGGTCTGCCCAGCAGCTCCTGCCCCTGGCTCCATATTCGCTTCCCGTCTTGGCAAAACTGCCCATTTGGGGGCCATAGTAAATGCTCTGGGTGCCCAGTCCATTGAATCCCCCCACATGGGAGTAGCCGGACAGGAGGCTGTTGTTTGGAGGAGCCACCGGTCTGCTGAGGATGTCACTGATGCCGTGCGGTGTGCCGGACGCCAACTGGGCACTCAGCCCAGGAGGATTGAGCTTGTAAAAGGAATTTTGCACCGAATACTGGCACATGGGGGCTTTCACTTCCGGGAATGGGGGCAGAGAAGGGTTGCTGAGGAGAAATGTCCCCTGCAGGTTGGAGTCCATAGCTCAACTGCTTGCTGGCAAAGGTGCCTACAGAGGAGTGTAGCTTCTAGGCTTCCCAAGGCACTTGGCACATTGGCAATGTCATCCCGAGACCCCAGGAATGTCCACCTGCCGCTCTTTTGGGGAAGCCCTTTCGCTAGGACCAAGTCAGGCGGGACCCTGGAGCTGCACTGCTGGCCGAGGCAACAGTAGCCCAAGTCCATGAGGTTCCTAGAAATGCCGAAACCAAGGCTGACAGACTGGCCACCACACTTAACTTCAAGGAAGCTCCCTTCCCTCTGTTAAAAGACTGGGCTTATTAGAATACCGGTCCTCTGATAGGCTGAGACCTTGGGTCTTCCATCTCTCATTGGGCTGTTTGAGTGCAGGACCTGGATTGGCTGCGCTGAGATAAATTGCCCTTTGAGAGCTTCACGGTCAACACCAGAACCTTAACACATGGCTAATGCTGGCGGGAGGGAGGAGAAAAGGATAGATGGATGGAATGGGAGGGTGTGTGTGTGTGTGTGTGTGTGAGAGAGAGAGAGAGAGAGAGCAATCAAGGGAAATCTAGACAGAGAGCCCAACTCTACAGCTTCGTAGCAGACAACCTCTGAACATAGTGCCTGTAAGAGAAGGTCCTGGGATAGGAAATACAGATGCATTTTTAAATAAAGCCAGCTGAGGTTGCAGGAGTTTGGGGAACAGAGAAGTGGGATCCTTGGGGCTCCAGCCCTCCAGGAGGAGGCTGAGGAAAGGAGAAGAAATCCTGCCTGTACCCAGTGAATTGCACCAGAAGTTAATTAGTTGGAGTTGGTGTCTCAAGTCAACCTTCACGTTTATTCTTGGGAAGCTGAGGGGGTGGAGGGGGGAAGGGGGGAATAACTAGTAGATTTGTCTGTGGAATGGGTAAAAAGGGGGTATCTTAGGCTGGGCTAATAGCCATAGCATGGGGTGGTCAGTCAACATTTTTTTGGCCAGAGGGACTGTGTTGAGGACACTTAGACAAAACTAACCATCTTGATCGCTTTTCCATTTCCACCTCACCAGAGTCTGGATCTGGTTCACCTTTAGTTGCAGCTACAATTTTTAAGAAAAAGTCATGCTGGATGGAGCTAACCATCTGATGAATACTGTGTTTAGTTTGGTGAGAAATGCTCAGACTTGGCACCGAGTACAACCACTGGACACAACAAAAATGACTGAACTCCAACCCCTTCCTTCAAAAATAAAAGCCAAGAAACACCCAAAACAGTTCTTGAAACCATCAAATCCAAACGCCTGCCCAGGGCAGGAATCCAGATCAAAACTTTCCCAAGGGATGGCTGTTCAACCTCTGCTTGGACCCCTCCAAAGAAAGGGAGCTCACTAGTTCCTTAGGTCAATGGTTCCATCGCTGAACTCCTCTCACAATTAGGAAGTCTTTTCTGATGTTCCACTGGAATCAGCCTTCCTGCACTTTAAGACCATTATACTGGGCCTCGTATGCTGCTACAATAAAACAGAGTCAGACCTTCCTTGAAAACTGGGTTTGTAGCCCTAACTAGACCAGGTGAAAAGAGGGGTGGGTATTTATAAACCTGCATATCCTGGACCCTAGCCATTGTCTTAGCATATTGTGCAAACCAGGACAACACAGTAAGCCATAATGTACTTCATTTCTGTGGAAATAGCATGTTACGTGAACACAGTTGCTATGTCTTGTTAACCCAAGTTTAGCATATTATGTGAACCCCGCTGAAGTGTGCGATCACATTCACTCTTAATCCTTCATATTCTTCATGTAGCACACTGAAAGGGAACCAATCCCAAGAGCGTGTCACTGAGATGATTTTGCTAAATGCATGCTCCATTTCATAGATCTATCCTCCCTAACCCAGTGCTCTTCAGATTCATTCAATTACAACTGCCCTCAACTGCCAGCCAGCAGTTAGCTGACATTTCCTGTGTTTATCGTCCCTTTCACACACTACTCAAATTACAAACCATACGTTCACCATTGACACACCATTCACTTACAACCTTCTCATAGTTCCGACTCATCTCGACAACGTGTCACTTTTCCAGTCCCTGGGCCAAATGTGCTGGCCATTTTGAAGCTTCTGAGCATCTGGAATGTTCACCAGCATTCCATAGCACCACATCAGTTCAGCCCAAGGCTAGTGGGGATATTCGCTTCACAGTGGACCAGAAGCAGCCAAGTCTTCAAAAGCAACAGACATGTAGTAATTGTCTATGTGTGTATATGTGTGTGTGTGTGTGTGTGTTCCCCTCTTTAGGGCAATTTTCTGTATATGTGTGTGTGTATGTATGTGTGTGTGTGTGTGTATTTCTGCTTCCAAACTTTCCCCCCACATTGAGGATGGATGGATGGACAGGTCTAAGCAAAAAATAACCAGATAGTTTAGGGGAGATAGTGACTGGACTCTTTTTGATGTATGAAGTACAGGGAGTCCCCAGTTTAAGAACGAGTTCCATTCCCAAGGTCTGTCCTTTAGTCAAGTTCGTAGGTAAGCTGGAACGGTATTATTGTATAGTAGTATTGTGTAATGAATTCAAACCATTGTGCATTTATCTCGAACCATTGTGTATGTAACTCGAATTTTGCTACCATAGGCTCCATTCTTAACTATGAGTTGTCTGTAACCCGGGCGTTCTTACCCCGGGGACTCCCTACAGTCATGATCGTCCATGTTGAGTGTTCACTTGATCAGACCAGAGACCGCTCCTGGAGGTACATTCCTGGGATGAGAAACACCCCAGTGCTGTGAGGAAATGAAGCTTCTTGACAGCTAAAGCTTTCAAGATTTGACACAATCCTAAAGCACCCCAGACCTCTAAGCCTCTTTTTAAAAAAAGAGGAGCCCTACCAGGACTTCATTCCTCTCTGAAAAAGGTATCATTAAGACACCTCTGCCAACCTCCCCACCACCACCACCACCCTGCATTCACTCCTAGCCAAGTCTGTGCCAGCAGAGCTTTTGATCCCAACCTCATGGTGCTTCTCCTTGCCCCGCGCCCCTTAATGTGGCCACAATGATTAGTGCCCTAACAGGGCATCCCAGCTTGGCTACACCTTTAGAAACACAGCAGACAACCGGGGAAGAAAAAGCAGCCGCAGAGACTACGTTGAGTGGTGTTGATTTATTTATTAACTTGGATTCTGGTAGCTGGTGGACAAGGGGGGATGTTCTATACATTGGAGGGGGGGATGGAGGGAAAACAAGAGGAGCCACAAGGCTCGAATTTCCATAACAATAAAAAAGAAAGTAAAAGTAATTTCAAAACTTCTAAAAAGCTTCTAGAGTGCAGTCGGCAGCATTCTCTAGGCATCACCCTCCCTTGCAGCTCCTACTAGCGATCAGCGGGCAAAGCGGCGCCCCGCAGGCAGGTGAGAGGGGCGCAGTTCACAGCTCATTTTTTTTGTTCTACGCACTACAGGAGGCCGAAGCATGGGGGAGGCCCACGCCGGATTCTAGGGCAATGCCGTGTCAGCAATTTGGTGGGGCGGAGAGGCCATACAGGCTGCAAATCACGGAGTCGAGGGATGGGGGAGACAAAGCTCAAGGCTCTGTTCCTTCCACGTCTGCATCCAGACAGTTCTTCTCCCTGGGGAGATGCCGGGCACAGCTTTCGGCCTTTCCTCAACTTCCACTCCCCTTCTTCCCCCCCGCCCCCCCAACACTTCCTCCTTTCCTTGCTTTTTCT